TGGTGCGGACCCATCCTACACCCAGCGAGTCCTCTTCAAATATGGCGGATCGGGCAAACCGGAAGGGGAAAAAAAGTTGCTTGTTGGCAACCGTTGCAGGCCAGACTCCCGGCAGCCCTTGCGCTGCCTAGAGGCGGAAGGACCCCGAACGCTCTCTAAGCTCCGCCCCCCAGCCCTTCCGGACTCCTACAGCTCCACTCTCTTCCAGCTCCTGTCTCTCTCCCTTTCGCCTTCACTTTCCCAAACTCCAATTCCTGAAGAGGAAAGTTTCGAGCCCTGATCCGGAAGTTAAACCCTGACTTAGGTGCCAAGATACTGATGGGCCTAGGTAGTGACGAAAAACACCATCTCTTTCGCTAGCACTGCTTTCACGTTCGACACCTCCACAAAATCCAAGTCGCTACCGCCATTCTGTCTTGAGGTGTTTAGGAGCTGAGTCAAGGACTGGAGTGGAAAGGGGGTTATTGAGCCTACTAATCCTAGGTGAACTGGGGATTGGCGGTGTTTGTAACCTGGATAAGAAAGCGACTCCATAATAAGGATTAATCGAAAATTGGACAACATTATCACTTTGACCATTTCTTTTGTTACATCGCATCGCAGAACTTCATGTTTATCCCAGATGAAAGTAAAGAGAGAAATGAGCCTGATTAAGAGATCCTGGGACTATGTTTTCTTGTCTGAGACACCTGGACATTGAAGAGGAGCGGCTCTTAAAAGCTAAATCCCTCCTCCTGTGTCTGTTCTTGTGATTATCCTGTGTCCGGACCCTTGCTTAAGGTAGAGGAGTGATGAAAAGCCTAAGTTGTGCCACATTCCATGCTCTCTTCAGAACCATGTCCTAACATCTTGTATCTTTTTTTGTTTATTCTAATTCCTGCTTTCACACTCTTGAAGAGTCTTAATAGGCACATTTAAACGTAAGCTATTTTCAGGCCAATAGACTGTGTAGCAGTTATGTTGTTCCACTCTCACAATCCTAATGGCAGTTCAAGTCCTGGACTCCTTGGCTTGAAAAATCACAGTGGGCATGTGTTTGCACATTTAAGATCCTGGGAGCAGAATGGGGAAGGGCTTATGATGTGGCCAACCACTCTGGGGGTGATTTCTCACATTCCCTCTCACTGTCTCTGTTTCTCTCTGACAAGCACACAATTTCTTAAGGCAAAAAACCTCTTTTTAAAAAAAAGTCATTTTCGGGAACCAGCAGTTACTGTAATGGCTATGTCGCTGGACTCCCACGTAGTCAACCGCGGTTCGGTCCCGGACCTGGTGGCTTAAAACTCACACGCCCATCACGTGTGCGTGCGTGCCCAAGATCCCAAGAGGAGAATGGAGGAGAAGGGATTGCAGCATGACCATCCCATCAGGGGGGTGATTTCTCGCTTTCTGTCTCTATGTCTCTCTCTGTCTGTCTGGCAAGCGCATGCGCTCTATAGCAAAAACCTCTAAAAAAAAAAAAAAGTCATTTTCTTCTTCAATTTTTCATAAATCTTTATTGAAGTATAACATGTCTTCTGTGAACTTCCCAGCCTCTTTTACTAAATAAAAATGTTAGCTACCACCAGTTCAGTAAGAATACTAGTGTTGAGATTGAGATTTTACTTAAACAATCAATTTTAAGACCAGCAGTGGCATAATGGTTAAGACACTGAACTCCCGTGCCTGGTGTGAGTTTAGCCACTGGGTCTAGGACTTGAACCACGGTCAACACCAGGCACGTGGGCATCTATGCCCAAGATTCTGCGAGGAGAATGGAGAAGAAGGAGTTGCAGCGTGGCCAGCCACCAGGGGGTGAGTTCTCACTTTCTGTCTCTCTGTCTCTATCTGGCTAGCACACGCAGTCTATAGCAAAAACCTCTAAAAAAATAAAAAGTTAAATTTTATATAAATTAGCCTGTTACGGGACCAGCAGTTAGCGTAATGGCCATGTCGCTGGACTCCCACGTAGTTGACTGTGGTTTGAGTCCCGGACCCGGCGGCTTAAACTCAGGACAGTAGTGTGTGTGTGCCCAAGATCCTGAGACAAGAATGGAAGAGAAGTGATTGCAGCATGACCAACCCCCTGGGGAATGATTTCTCGTTTTCTGTCTCTGTTTTTCTCTGTCTTTCTGATGAGCGCATGTGCCCTATAGCAAAAACCTCTCAAAAAAAAAAAAAAATTAGCCAGTTACTATTTTGAGAGTCCCGGTAAAAGACAAAGATTAAGAACTTTATTTATTTATTTTTTAAAGAATGAAAGCTGAAATTGTAGGGTGTTTTAAATTTATTCATTTATTTATTTTAATTTGACCAGACAGAGACACCAGGTCCAAGACTTGAACCATGGTCGGCCATGTGGGAATGTCCAGTGCCTTAACCACCACGCCACCCACTGGTCCCAACAATAGAATAAGAATCATAAGAACTAGGACCAGCAGTTAACGTAATGGCCATGTCCCTGAACTCCCATGTAGTCAACCATAGTTTGAGTCCTGGAAGCGCTGGCTTAAATTCACATCAGGCACATGTATGTGCGTGCCCAAGATCCCAACAGGAGAATGGAGGAGAAGGGATTGCAGCATGGCCATTCCCCCTGGGGGTGATTTCTTTCTTTCTCTCTCTCTGTCTTTCTGGCGAGTATACACACCCTATAGGAAAAAACTCTCCAAAGAGAAAAAAAGAATCATGAGCATCCTGTTTACAGGATTTCTTTGCTTCCTAAATTACACAGGAATAATAAAAGGAATAAAGATAGATGCCACAGTTGCAGTATATGCATTAAAACTAAGGACTAGTGTGCTTAGGAATTTCACATTTTTCTATTAAGGAATGAAGTAAGCTGCTTTTACTGTTAGAGGCAGAGATGTATATTATCTTTAAAGGTTATTAATAGATGCCAGCAAGTGGCATAGTGACTTCATTCCCACATTGCAAACCACTGTTCTAGTCCTGGACTTGGCAGCTTCAGCTTCAAACTCACCATGGGTGCGTGCGTATGCGTGCCCTACATCCTGAGAGGAAATGGAGGATAAGGGATTGCAGCATGGCTTCTCCCCCCTCCAAAGGGTAATTTCTCATTCTCTCTGTTTGTCTTCTGGGTCTCTGGGTAGCAAACATACCCTCTAGCAAATATCTCTTCAAAAAAATATTAATAAATTTAAAATAAATGTAAAAAAAAATAAAGGTTGTTAATAGATGACAAAAGTTAGGGCATTGCATTGTTGGCATTCCAATGGGGGCACATAAGGACTGTGATGTAGATGGCACATATTCTTACAACACTCAGAAACATGTTCTTCTAGTCCTTGCACATACATACTCTCCTATAGTAACAGGTATTCTGGTCTCTGTCATCATAGATTAGTTTTACCTTCTTTGGGTTTATATCGTAGAGTCCAGCATGTAACTCTTAATTCTGCTGTCTTTCTTAAATACATTCTCTAAAAACTACATTTAGGAGACCAGCAGGTGGCGTGGTGGTTAAGGGCACTAGACTCCCACCTTGCTGACTACAGTTCAAATCCCAGACCTGGCATCTTGCTTTCTCACTTTCCCTCTCTCTCCCACTCTGTCGCTCTCCTCTATGATTAAATTAATAATAAATAAATAAAGTTAAATAAAATAATTCTTAAAAAAATTTTCATTTAGGTACCAGTAGTTGTATTAATAAAATATCAGAACAGTGACTGGCAGTTGGCATGATGGCTATGTCGTTGGACTCCCATGTAGTTGACCACACTTCAAGTCCTGGACTCAGTGGCTAAAACTCATGCCAGGCACGTGTGCGGGCGTGCACAAGGTCCCAAGAGAAGAATGGAGGAAAAGGAATTGCAACATGGCCATTCTCCCTGGGGGGTGGTGATTTCACACTTTCTGTCTCTCTGTCTCTCCCTATCTTTCTGAGGAGCAACTATAGTAAAAACCTCTCCAAAAAAACTAGAACATATCTATCTAATTACTGTTGATGGACATTTAAATAATTTTCAGGGGATCAGCAGTTGGTGTAATGCCTATGTCACTGGACTCCCACGTAGTCGACCATGGTTCGAGTCCCAAACTCGATGGCTTAAACTCGTGTTGGGCGTGTGTGCATGTGTGCCCAAGATCCCGAGAGGAGAATGGATGAGAGAAGGGAGTGTGAAGTGGCCATCCCCCCTTGGGGGATGATTTCTCACTTTCTGTTTCTCTCTCTCTTTCTCTCTCTCTCTCTCTCTCTGGTCTTTCTGGTGAGCCCATGTGCTCTATAGCAAAAACCTCTCCAAAAATAACTAATAAATAAATAAATAAATAGGTTTATTTATTTATTGTAGCTATGATTAAGTTTCTATAAATAAGCGAGTGTTAGTCTATGTCTTTTGGTAGATGTATACTCTTATTTCTATTAAGACTATGAGTGAAAGTTCTGGTATTGTTGTGTACGTGTATGTTTATCTTAAAAAGTGCCAACTAATTTTCCAAAGTAGTTATGTTTATTTGAGTTACCAATTTACCATTTTTTTGTATGTCAAAAGCAGTTGTTGTGTACGTGTATGTTTATCTTAAAAAGTGCCAACTAATTTTCCAAAGTAGTTATGTTTATTTGAGTTACCAATTTACCATTTTTTTGTATGTCAAAAGCAGCCAAATACTGGGAACCAGCAGTTAGCATAATGACTATGTTGCTGAACTCCCACGTAGTCGACTGCGGATCGCGTCCCAGATCCGGTGGCTTAGAAATCACACCAGGCACATATGCGT